AATAGTGTGTCTTCTTCGAATCTGACAGACTATTTAGAATACTGTATCTTACTCTTCTAATCATGGCTAATTACAAAAAATCCTTAATTTTATTTTTAAAAATTAATTTGAAAGAATAAATCTTAAAAGGCATTTTTATTTTTAAGCCCAAAATTACAATTTTCTACATGTGCCACTTTTATTGGATTGAGAATCACTAGAAAGCACTGTCTTATTTGCTGATACAGAGGGCTTGGCATTATACAGTGAAAATCTAAGCATAATTTGTACTGAAAATAGTGATATTATTTATGTTTCCCACTCACTTTATTTCAAAATTCTAAATCAGATCTATAACTTTTTCTGATTTTATAATTCACCTTTAAGATTCCCCAGACTATAGACACAGCCATTTACTATTTATTAAAAAATTGTCTGTATTCAATGAGCTGTGTATTCTCCAGCAAATATATATAGGATTGCTGCTCCATAGTAATCTAGAGCAGTGGCCCCCAACTTTTGGGCTCCAGGGATGGTTCCATGGTGAGAGGTTTTTCCGTGGACTGGAGAGGGCATGGTTTGTGTGCTGCCTGCATCCCGTGGATGGGTCTTTGTTTGTTTGTGCAGCCTGGTTTCTGGCATGCTGCGGACCAGTGCTGGTCCATGGAACGGGGGTTGGGAACCCCTGATCAAGAAACAAATTCCTGTCCTGGAGAGATCATATAATTTTGCAGATGGAAAAATGATATTTCCAAACCACAATGAAAAGTGGGAACTGGTATTAATAAGGTTTCTTAACTTTCAGAAGTTTTATATTATTATTGTTTTCCAGTGCTCAGACGCTCAGGTTACCACTGTAAATGAATTGAATGGGGAAACAATATAACTCCCTTCAAAAAATTATAAAGATCAACAAGCATCTTCATGACTTAGAAAGTGGATAAAATACAGAAATGATTTAAAATATTTCCATTTACAGCTGTTATCAAAAAAGATGAAAGGCATGGCATTTATAATAAACAAATCCATAACTTATTGGTTTCTTTGGCTTAGTATTCATTGAATAGAGAAAGCAGGAGCAGAAACAATTATCTCATGAAGACTACATTGTGTAATAACAATTGCCACAAATGTTTTTCAAACAAGTTCATTTAGGTTGCAATCCTATGCACACTCATCTGGGACATGTCTAATGGAGAAATCAGGATTAGGGTTGGGTTACCAACCAAGACAAATGGCTGCATACTGAAGAAAGGAGGATACTATGCTTAGTGTCCTGATGGAATAATTGGTGTGGCAGCTGTAAGTTTTTCTGCCTTAGATATGCTTATGCCAGTAATTGATAATGTCTTCAGCATGCAATTAGGCTATTACAATGCACTCTGCTTTTGAAGACAATGAGAATTGAAACTAGTCCAATATGCATCAGCTTAGTTGCTAATGGGGGTGAGTAGGTTTACCAGTATAACTACAATGCTATGGTAGCAATATTAGGTATCATTAGGTTTCCAGATCAAATTTAAATGGCAATATTAACCTGTAAAGGCCTACATGGCTTCAGGACCAACTTTTCCACAATCAGTCAAGAAATCAATTATTCCATCCTGTGCTTTCACCCAGAGAGGAGATGTTGAGGATCATGGGATGAAGGGGATGGACAGCTGCTCCACAATGTGGAAGCTGCCACTGAAGATGGCTGAAGGCCATCTTCAGTGGCAGCTTCCACACTGTGGAACAGCTGACTACCTGGAATTTGTGTGGACCCCAATCTGCTGGCCTTGCTCACAGTCATTAAGACCAAATTGTTCTGCAGACAGTTTGGAAAATCATGCTGGTTATAGGATGCTTTTTGAAGATTTTCTAATAGATGTTTTTATTTATGGCATTGGTGTGGATTTTTTTTAAATTTCGGATTAGGATTTGCTCATTCTATAGTGTTTATTCTTTTTATTGTTAACTGCCTACAGTTTCAAAAGTGGATGGTGTGCACATTTTGTATGTATGTATAGTGATACTTAAAATATGTGAACCCTTTTGAATTTTCAGTATTTCTACATAAATATGACTTAAAATGTTATTCCGTACAAGTCCTAAAATTAGATAAAGAGAACTCAGTCAAAAGTATTATACTTGTTCATTTATTGTTGAGGAAAATTATCCTGGTTTTGCCAGAATGGGATTTGGGCCCAGCCACAATCTCAACTCCAGGATAATGCCTCAGGCTAATCCTAGGAGTCCTATCACATCCAGCCAAGAAGACTAACATGAGCAGCAAAATACCCAAGAGAACTAAGTTTAGTGTTCAAAGCTTACTGCATCTCCACAAATACTTCAGTAGGGCTATCACAGCAAAGCTGCAAAAATCCAAACAATTACTAGTTAATAACAAAGAGCTGTGCTGGCTTCAGGCTATGGTTGAGTAGACACTGGCCTAGGACACTAAAACCAACTGCCATCTCTCCTTTTGAATCATTCTAAAAAGGCAAAGCTTCTTAGCAGGAGATGGCGCCATCAGACAATGTAGCCCAGGATTACTGTACATATATCCATGAACTGGGTCTAGCAAAGAGATACAATAAATCTGTACTTGTTTAGTGCCATCATGTGGTCATTTGGATTTTTGCAAACCATATATAGCAGCTATGAATATGTGAGATAAAATAGGCAAGAACAAGAATCATAGAAATAGTATCTGGCAATCAAAGTCTCTGTGGTTTTCATTCATTTTCCTATTTGTTGTTGTTGTTACTGCTGTTGTTGTGTTTATGTCCTTCCTGATGTAATAGGAGATGGGGATGAAGGAAAAAAACTATTTCTGTCTTTCAATTGACCAAGTGTCTAATGCTTACTAAGCACTAGTAATTTGATTCAATTTGAAAATTATTTTGCGTACAATATAACAGCACAATAGGAAATAGAAAGTGTTCCAGTTATTGAAAATTGCTTTATTACAGAAAAGCTTTCCAGATATTAACTTTTAATATGTTTTAAAAAATCCTTGCCTGGGTTTCTTGGGAAATGAAGATATGAATTAATCTTAATAAGTATGTAAACTTATATGAAATAATGCATCACATTTTACTTTTGGTCTTCTGCTTACACTATCCCAGGTATGTTTCAGCATGCAACTTACTTTAAATCCTGGTTGGAGAACAAAGACTGAAGTTTTTTTTACCAGACAAGATCTTGGAAATGTTACTAGCACAATGTGATAACCTTGAGAAACAAGTTTCAGAAAGAATTGGAGGGTCTTTCTCCACTTGCACATAATCATGGCATAAACAATTCACTGGAAACATCTTTTTTCAGCTATGTTCTCATGACATTTTCATATTGGCCCCACGTAACTAGACAGCCTTAAGTCCTTAGCTGAAGCAGTACTGAAATGACATTTTTTCCTGTATCAAGTTTAGCCTCAGGATGTATATATTGTATAAAAGACTGTGTCAGCCTTTAACTTGAAGGAAACCAGAGGTTTGCAGTGAAATATTATCTGCAAATTGTCTAGCAATGGAGATATCAAATTCATGCTGAGAGAGCTTTTTCCAACTCAAGGATGAGAGGACAGCATTTCAGTTCAGAAAGGCCTCATGGCTGCAAATTATTAGGCTCGCATTAATGACCATTTGATCGCACAATTTAATACATATTTTATTTGATTCTGATAAAATAATTTTTAGAATTATTAATCATCTATAGGAAGTCAATGTTTTGAGAAAACTGGTGTGAGAAAGCTGTGAAATACTTTTGAGAAAAACCTGTGTAAGCAGAAATATTGAAAATTACAAGCCCTGTAGGCAGGTATTTCAATTGCAAGCACTAAGTATGCTCTTAAAAAGTCTATTTTTGAAAGGTTCTTATATTTCTTATAACACAGTCCTATGCTTACTGAGAACTCAACTCAGCCAGGTCAATGAGATCTCAGTCACAGATATATTTTGGGCTGCAGGCTAAGCAAAAACACTTTATAACATTATCCAGTGTAAAGGTTAATAATGATGACACTGCATATACAGGTAATCCTCAACTTACGACCACAATTGAACCCAAAATTTATGTTGCTAAGTGAGAAATTTGTTAAATGAGTTTTGCCCCATTTTACGACTTTTCTCGCCACATTTGTTAAATGAATCACTGCAGTTCTTAAATTATAACAGTTAAGCTTCCCCCATTGACTTTGCTTGTCCGAAGGTTGCAAAAGGGGATCACACTGCAACCGTCATAAATGTGAATCAGTTGTCAAGATCTGAATGTAAATCACGTGACTGTGGGGATGATGCATCAGTCATTTTTTTTTGTATGGGTGTGTTTTTAGAACAGGCCTGTTATTTAATTCGATTTTAAAACAGAAACTATTTATTTATTATCGTGGTTTTTAGTATCGCCTGTTCACCGCCCTGAGTCCCGCAAGGGAGATAGGGCGGTATATAAATTTAATAAATAAATAAATAAATAAATAAGTGCGAAAAATGGTCATAAATCACTTTTCTCAGTGCCGCTGTAACTTCGAACGGTCGATAAATGAATTGTTGTAAGTCGAGGACTCCCTGTACTAATCCAAAACGATGGATTATTTTCCATGGCTGTTTCTAACCCTGAATTTTACTCATCCAAGTGGAGAATCTATAAGTCAATTAACATACCCCTCCCTTTGCCTCGGAAAACGGATGCTATATAATGCATTTTCCAGGTGCCACACGGTTTTGTTTTTTTGAGAAGTCGCCGATCGAGGTCGGGAAAGCTTGCAAGAACACACGCTTAGGCAGAACGCTTGTGGCTTTGGGGGGTGGGGAAAGCATATCTCCCCCGCCCCGCACAGGCTTCTTCCCCTGCTAGTTCGGGCTTTACCTGCAGCTTCCGCTCCCTTCCAAGGTTCCTCTCGCCCTACAGGAGGGGGAAGCGCAGAAGCGTCCAGCGATAGCTACCTAGGAAGTAGGAGAAGGGGGCAGGGAAACGGCGGGCCGATCGCAGGTGCCAAAGCCCTCCAGCTCGCCGCGGCTTGGCCGACCTCCTCGCCCCCAATGGCTTCTCCCGCCAACGCTCTGCCCGAAGGTAAAAGCCGCCTTGCCTAAACTCTTCGGCAACGGGCGCGCGCGCCTCGGCGCAGAGGCACGAGAGCGGTGGGCTTGCGCGCCTCTGCGGACGGGGACCGCGGGCACCGGAAGGAGGGCCGGGCAGAGCAAGGGAGGCGGGACCCTAGAGTGGCCTTTGCAGTGCGGGGGGAGGGAGGGGGGCGGGCGGGCGGATTCCCTGGGTGGACACTGATCCTCCCACGGGCTCTGCCGAGCTGCTCTTCGTTGGCGGGATTCTGCCAAAGGCGAGCAGCTCTCCGTCTGTCGCTGGGGCTGTTATTAGTATGAATTCATATTTGCATTGCTCCTAATGTTTTTTGGCAAAGGCAGCGTTCTTCTTAGAGGAAAGTCTTTGTCCCCTGCCTTGTGCGACTGGAAACTCTCTTCCTCGAAATTACCCATAGCGGACAGTCGGGACAGAGGCGGCCGAATTCGATTTTTGAAAAGAGTCTCAATGTTCCCCCTTCTTCGTATTTTGGGCTTTGTATTGAGAATGACTTTGAGTTGTCGTTGTTGGTTTTTTTTAAGTCTTTTTGGAGCGCTTCTCAAAGTCTGATGAATCATTCACTCAAGTGCTAAATAAATTAAGCCCTGCAGCATCCCTCTGAAGTGAAGCAAAATTGTTATAAAAGGTTGCCTTATGCTGTAATTCAACTTTATATCCTTCAGCAGGAAAAAAAAAAATCTACCAGTTTCCAGGAGAGTTTTGAGTATAAAAGCTTTAAACTGGGAAAAGAAGGTATTATAATTTCCACTTTTTTAGAAGGAAAATCCAGTGTTTAGTGTAGGATAACTGGCTCCTTTTTTATAGAACTTGTTGAAAACTAAAATATATAGTATAACTGAACAGTGAATGAACAACTTAATGGTTTCAAGATGTTTTATGCTGATCTTTATATATTCAAATGGTTTAAAAGGTTAATGTAAATTAAAACCATTTGTGAAATAAAAAACTATAATAAAAATATTTCCTATTTTTTATTTAATATGGCTTCTAGACTATTGTTTATTGAGCAAGGTTGTTATATTTGAACTGACATGTGACCATCTGTCATGAACCTATGCAAGAACATACAAGAGCTAGCCATTTCCTTTAGAATTTTTTACCCAATTGGGATAAACCAGGATGTGAACCCCTGTTGTGTGGTTTGCAGCAGACTGATGTGTAATTATTAAGCAATTAAAGTACAGATAAATAAATATCTCTAAAATGTTGATGAGTGTAAACTTAAGCCTCTTTTTGGCTTGTTTCCAGCAGACCAAGCAACTAAAGAACCAGTAGAAGACACTGACCCTAGCACTTTATCCTCAGAAAATGTAAGTAGTTTTGTTGAAGTGGTTAGTTGCCCAGCTAAGCAGAGTGGGAGCTGGTTAACATTTGGATGAGGGCTACCAGAAAATGCAAGAATTGTGGACTACAATGGGAAGCTGAACAAACATCTTGCTAGAAGGCATTGGCAACATTTTTTATGTTGCAAAGAAAACTACATGGATATGTCCATGAAGCTATCAGAAGCTGAGAATGATTCAAAGAAAATATTACTTTTACTAGGTCATTAATTTACTTATTTTACTTGTTGGTTGCTATGGTATTATTGTACATAGTATTTCATACTCAGAGACAAGTTCAACAGTTAAGAGGTGACAAGATACAGGCTCTGAAATAAGTCTAGGGACATAACATCATTTCCTTTGTAATCTTCCTAAATAATTGATTAGCTTGCCACACAAATAGCATCTCTCTACAGCATAGAGTGCTATGGGAGAAAATATTTAGTTAAGTTACTTCTGAGTTTCAGGCTTCTAAAAACTATAGAATTCTGACATTTTTTTAATAATTAGAAAGTGTTGTAATGAGAAGTTAATGCCTATTTCATCCAGATACATATGTCTCTATAAAGAATGAGTGATGCTAATATACTCTTCTTTTATGCAACAACTAGCTATTTTTGATGAAACTACTTGAAATGGTAACAACTAGAAACAAAGCCATTAGTATGAATTAATCTCTGTAATCAAGAAGGAAAATGACCATAATGAATCAGTGATTCATATTTAGAGTGTTCTGTTGATTCAGAGGTAGACAAATGAATTCCCTTTCTTTATAGCTTTTCTATTGGTTTGTGTGGATAAAAAAGAGAGAGTTGTAACAGAAAATTCAGTAGCGAGAGATGCAGTTGTAGTCATTATCCAAGATTTGTTTGAGAACCCCTGTAGTGGTTTCATTTCCACCAGTGTCATGAATCCTTAATGAAGTTGGTCCTTAAGGATTATTTATTTATTTATTGAATTTATATACCGCCCTATCTCCCTTACGGGACTCAGGGCGGTGAACAGGCGATAATAAAAACCACGATAAATATACACGAGTTTCTGTTCTAAAATCAAATTAAATAACAGGCCTGCTCTAAAAGTACCCCATACAAAACCCCCACTAAAACATAATCAAACTACGCCAGGCCGGCCGCATAGAATAGATGGGCCTTCAGGGCTCGGCGAAAAAGGCGCAGGTCCGCAACGGTACGTAGGTCGGGGGGTAGGTCATTCCAGAGGGCAGGAGCTGCCACAGAGAAGGCTCTCCCCCTGGGGGTCGCCAGCCGGCATTGTCTGGCCGACGGCACCCTAAGGAGGCCCTTTCTGTGCGAGCGGACTGGTCGAAGGGAGGTGTTTGGTAGGAGGCGGTCTTGCAAATACCTAGGTCCATTGCCATGGAGCGCTTTAAAGGTTGTTACTAACACCTTGAAGCGCACCCGGAAGGCCACAGGCAGCCAGTGCAGCTCACGCAGGAGAGGTGTTACATGGGAGTATCTAGAGGCCCCCAGGATCCCCCGTGTGGCCACATTCTGAACTAGCTGGAGCCTCCAGGTGCACCTCAAGGGGAGCCCCATGTAGAGAGCGTTGCAATAGTCCAGGCGGGAAACAATGAGGGCTTGAGTGACCATGTGTAGAGCGTCACGATCCAGAAAGGGGCGCAACTGGTGTATCAGGCGAACCTGATGAAAAGCCCCCCTGGCCATGGCTGTCATATGGTCGTCTAAAGACAGCCGAGTATCCAGGAGGACGCCCAGGTTGCGGGCCCTCTCCGCGGGGGCTAATGACTCGCCCCCGATAGCCAGGGATGGAGCCAACTGGCTATGTCGTGACGCCGGAAACCACAGCCACTCGGTCTTGGACAGGTTGAGTCAAAGCCTGTTCCTCCCCATCCAGACTCGCATGGCCTCCAGGCACCGGGACATCACTTCTGCGGCATCGTTGGGGTGGTCCGAGGTGGAGATATACAACTGGGTGTCATCTGCGTACTGATGAAACACCACCCCGAAACCACGGATGATCTCACCCAGTGGCTTCATATAGATGTTGAACAGGAGAGGCGAGAGGACCGACCCCTGCGGTACCCCACAAGTGAGGACCTCGAGGTCGACCTCTGCCCCCCTGCCAGCACAAATTGCGACCGGTCCGAGAGGTAGGAGGAGAACCACCGTAAGATGGTGCCCCCCAAACCCAACCCCTCTAACCGGTGCAGCAAGATACCATGGTCGATGGTATCGAAAGCCGCTGAGAGATCTAACAGGACCAGGATAGAGGAGCAGCCTCTATCCCGAGCCCTCCAGAGATCATCAACCAACGCGACCAATGCCGTTTCTGTGCTGTGCCCAGGCCGGAAGCCGGACTGGCGCGAGTCTAGATAGACAGTTTCTTCCAGGTGCTGAGGGAGCTGTCGTGCCACCACACTCTCAACAACCTTCGCAAGAAAGCGAAGGTTGGAGACAGGACGGTAGTTGGCCAAAACAGCCGGGTCCAGGGAGGGCTTCTTGAGGAGGGGCCTCACCACCGCCTCTTTCAAGGCGGCCGGTAAGAACCCCTCACTCAGAGAAGCGCTGACGATTCCCTGGAGCCAGCCTCATGCAACCTCCCGGGAGGCCAGTATCAGCCAGGAGGGACACGGGTCCAGTAAACGTGTGGTGGTGTTCAGCCGTCCCAGTATCCTGTCCATGTCCTCGGGAGTCACAGGATCGAACTCTTCCCAGAAAGTGGACTCAAGACCTGCCTCCGTTGGCCCGTCTGAACTAGTCCAATCGGAGGCCAACCCGTCCTGGATCTGATCGATTTTGTCATAAAGGTAACACCCAAATTCCTCTGCCTGACCCTGCAGGGGGGCGTCCCGGACCCTCTGATGAAGGAGGGAGCGGGACACCCTAAACAGGGCGGCAGGTCGGTTACCTGCAGACGCGATAAGAGCGGAGAAATAGTTTCATTTCGCCTCTCTTATCGCCACTAGGTAAGTCCTTAAATGGGACTTTACCAGTGTCCGGTCAGATTCGGAGCGGGTGGTCCTCCAAACATCCTCTAGGCATCTCTTCCGACGCTTCATCACCCTCAGCTCCTCGGAAAACCAAGGAGCCAAGGTAGTCCGGCATCGGGTGAGAGGCCGCAAAGGCACGACCCGGTCCAGGGCCCCCGCAGCCGCACTATTCCAGGCGGCCACCAGGTCCTCAGTCGAGCCGCAGGTCAGGGTCTCATGTATTGGCCCAAGCTCCGTCTGGAACCTCTCGGGGTCCATCAGGCGCCTGGGGCGGAACCATTTTGTCACTTCTGGTTCCGCCTTTCCTTTAAAAGCATTTGCTTCAAAATGTTATAAGGATGAAAGTGTTGGAAACCATTCCGTGAAAGATTTCTGAATCAAATTATCGAAGGAGGATTTGGTTCGAGATTGCCATCTTTACCGGCAGACCCATCCCAAGTGTTTCATAATTTCTGCTAAACTTTCATTTAAGGGGCTTGATAAATCTCCATTGATTCCTTATTCCTGCTTGGAACTGGAGAAATACTGTGAATTGTTGAATACTTGGCAAGCTCAATGAACAGCTGGGGGACTGCATTTGGCTCCAAAGGTTACAAATTCAGCAGAATAAAGAATTTAACAGGTCAACATAATTGGTGTGTCAAAATGTATCTAAAATAATTGTATAAATATGTTTCTTTTTTTTGTCTGAACAGATAGAAAAGTATCCTGTTCAAGATACAGCATTACCCAAAGGTAAAAATAGACAACTACAATGACTGTTCTTATTTTTTAAAAAACTATTGTAATATACAACTTGATTAGGTATGCCACAATAGTGAAACTATTATGTCTCTTCATAGACTTCATAATTTTCTAGAACTGACTCCAGATATAATTGCTGAAATTCCCAGCTTTTCTTAGCTCTGAGACCTTCAAAATCTTCTAAGGTCAAGAAGCCACCAACTAAGAAAATATCTTACGGTTTTCTCTCCCTGATTCATTTTCACCTTAGTAGCTCAATTCCATCACCGGAGATATAGTTTGGTCTAAAAGTTAAGGCACTAGTCTAGAAACTAGGAGATTGTGAATTCTAGTCCTGCCTTAGACATAAAAGATGACTGGATGACTTCGGGAGATAATGGACTATGTACCCTGAAGGACCCAATTTCACTGACCCATGCTACTTCTCAGAACTAAGATCAGATTTCTTCTGCTTCTCTTATCTGTAGGAGCTTCTGTTCTCATATTCTCTGGATTGAGTCAATCAGTGCCACAGTCAATGTTTTTATTAATTTAATATATTTGTAAACTTTCCCAATCATAAAATCTCTGGTGATCATAGATGTTCTCTGTCTCCATTGTCAGAATGCATATCTTATTTCATATGGTACAACATAATTTGTGATAATTGTTTCCATTTCCTCATGCTATTCAAGTCATCTGGATCACCTTTTCTATAGGAGATTCAGCAGTTTTATTTACAGGCAACACCATTACCTTTGTTTAATATCATGTTTGATCAAGCCATGCATCCTGGACCATCAAACTTCTTTCTTGCAACATGCCAGCTGAGGCATGATAGCTTTCTATCTGGGCCCATCTTCCAGTTCTGATACCACTTCATGGAGTTGGTGAGACAAGTTTGTTTGAAGTTCGGTATCGACATTCCATCTCATCTTCTCCCCCCTCAGAATAAGCAACCTTAATCACAGTGCACCTGAATGTAGGCAATTAGTACATTGCATTGATGTTAGAAAGCAAATTTCATTTTATTGCAGTTATCCAAGTAATTAGATATGGGGATTATTCACTCAAAGGGTATGGATGATCTAACATTCCATTTGATGCTTGCAGATGCTTAGAATCCTGGTTTATTTACTTCAAACGTTTTTTAAAAGCCTGATTCCAGATTACTCTGGGTGCTGACTTATTATACCTGTCTTGCCAGTTCTATTTTTGATCTGCAAAGGGTACATGGCATTAGTTAATTTCTGTTCCATTGATGTTGTACAATATAGAAAACTGATGGGAACAACACATTTTATTTAAGTAGTTAACTATAAACCATTTCAGTCCAAGTCAAGAAAAACACTTGTGGACCACAAGGGAAAGAAATCTGATATAGAGAACACAGTACCTATTTCACAGCAGCCTTGTCTTTTTGGCTCTACATCCATTAGGCTTATCTAACTAACATCAATGTTTCCTATAAAAGACAATAGCCTTACTGTTCTGTCATCTCCCACAGGATACACAAAGGGCATCAGAACTATTTTCTTCTGAAGATTATATTCTCTCCAAGTGGCAGGTCAATACTATGAAATACCAAGCCAGCAGCAAGACAGTTAATGGCTCTCTTCCTTGTACTTGGCCTGCTGAAGTCTGTTAGTCTTTCTCATGAAGAATTTCTCGGGACATTATGAATTGTACTGAAAACCTTCTCTTTGATGGGAGGGCCTCATCAGTGGATAGATGGATAACAGCAGCAGCAGCAAGATTAATGTAATTTCAGTCCGTGTTCAAAAGGATCATCCTTAATCCAAACCTTGCTCCTCTTGAGGGCTCTCATATTGTACACCTTATATAAGAGACAACCAGACCACAGAGATGATACTGACCAAAATCTAAAACATGCCAAGTTGACAATCAAACAATTTTTGTAAATAATGTTTTCTCCTAAACATCTGTGATGTTTACTACTGTATACATTTGTCAGTTTAGAAAAACATTACAGTCCTATGAATTTCTGTGTATGATCATAGGACATACTATATATACTATACCACTGAGTTCAACACTCAACTACAAATGGGAATAATTCACTTATTCCTCATTTTCTCTGTGTGGTGCTTGGAATTTCAGGAATTCATACTCAAAGGAGCAATTATAAGGTTCCTGACATTTCTTGGTTGAGAAGAAAGATAAAGGGGGTTAACCTGCCTTGGATCTCTACAATTAAAGTTGTTTATCAGGGCTAAGACATTTTACAAAGTCAGTTTGTGAAAGTTTTACCTCTATTTCTTTCAGGATTAAAATATATTGTTTTACATCTCCATCAGGTGAATTCTTATGCTTTGCAGTACATGGAATTCTCCATTGAATACTATTTTTTTGCCTCATGAATCTATCCTAAGCATATGGCAGTAGTTATCTGCAAATATCCCACATCAGTAACTTGCTCCCTGTGATTTAAACTTGGTTCATCTTTCAGGGCCATGTATCCCAAACTTTTGCTTTATTTCAGAGGTTGGGCCTTTTGGTGATTTTTTTGCAAGCTATGAATGCATATACATTCATGCAATTCTTTCATCCGTAGGGATCTACTTAAGGTACTAAGTTTCTATTAATTTTATATGGCTAGCTACTGAAATTGAGGGAATAGATAGGAACACTGATGGTATGCTTCCCGCCCAAAGTACTTATCTGCACTTCTGGAGGATTCTGTTCTGAGTCCATTCATATTTGCCATTTATATGTTTAAAGGCGTACATGAACACTTAAAACACACTTACAAGAAAGCAATGGGTAAGCAACAACAACATGTATTTTCCCTGACATCCAGCACAGACAAATATTTGGGAATCAAGAATTAGTTGGGAGCCAAAGGATTGCATATGGATCATCTGTTTCCTCATTTCATTCTGATACCTAAAGTGTCTACAGGAGGCTAGGAGACCCTACCAAAGCAGAAATCAACACAGTATGAAGCAATAAAGGCAGAAGGAACATAATCAGTCTCTTCATACAAGTGTAGAACTACTTTCTATCCAGGCATATAGCACAAAATCTAGTCATAATGTATTAGATCTGATCCTAGCTAATTTAACCCATTTTACTTTAAAAAGAAGGATGGTATCCAAAATCAATCATAAATAACCAATTAGTTATAAAGAACAGCAAGAGAAGAATCACTTAAAGAGAGATAATTATTCTGAAGAAATTTCCATTGTCATGAAATGACAAATCAAAATATGAATGTTTATTCTGGTAAAGCAGTATTCTCTAAGGTTTTTAAATATTTTGTTTTTGTAATTATTGTTATTGTAATTTATATTTATTGAATTACCTGGAATGAAATACATGTACTAGAAGGTAGACTTAAGATCATTACTATGAAAAAGAAAATCTAACTCTTCTGTTAGTAGTATCATGTAGATATGCAGACTGAAAATTCAGGAAGTTACAGTCAAACATTGGAGGTCTACATTAACTTTCCCTGATCTGGGGATTTCCAGATGTTTGGACTTAAAGCTCCCAAAATTGCTCAGACACCATGACAATTTTTAGAATTCTTGGAGTAAATTCCAACTGAGGCAAGTTTGAGGAAGATTGATCTTTATAAGATTTGTCTCAGCAGCAATTTCGTTTTTGTCTTCTTCTTTCCCCTCTTTCTCTTCTCTTTCTGCTGTACTTAGACCTGAAACTGCTCTGGATTTGATGAAAGTTACTATTGTATATGGACACACCCAGGCAATTTAAAAGATCTGGCTTTGTTCTTATACCTATTAATGATAACTGGATATTCAGGAATGAGCCAGTGAAATGTTACATGACATTTCAGATAAATGTTATCATTAATAATTATTGCAATTCATATGGGATCCAGTTTGTAAAATGATGATTTTAATGTAATTGATTGGTGACTGGCAGGTAAGTGTGACATGTGGAATGGTTTGGAAGAGGGATATATGGTATTTTATTTCAGGGGAAAGAAGATTAACATAATAGAGACTAGCAATTCCTCACTTACATAGGGCTTTCATTCATTACATCCTTTCTGTAAGCCTATTTTGAAAATGTGTCCACAGGTTAGTTCCTTCTGCAATCTTAGGTATGTAAAACTTTAATCAAGTCATCAGTGGTTATGCTAAATTTTATGAATGGAACAGTATGCCTGTATTACAGCTTTCTTACTTGCCATGATACATTACTTGAATTGGCACCATAACCTTTCGGAATTACAGAATCTTTTTGGAAATACTTTGATCAAGAGGTCTAAACTTGACTAACATTGCAGAATATTTGCCTTGTAGATGAAAAATACCAAACAGAAAAAGTGACTTTGGAAATTTCATCCATTAACATTACAAGCCTAACATCAGATTCTGGCCTGATACACCAGGTAATTGAAATATTATTAATCCTATTAGAATATCTGTCAATATTATTTATTGTTATTTATCAACATTAAGACTTTTTACTCTTGTTCCCCAGTTTACTGTAAATCAGTGCTGAAAGTTTTATTTCAAACCTGGGTGCAAGCTGGAAAGAGGGTAGAAATAGCCATGAAAATAATCCTGCATTTTAGATACTCTTTGCCTTCAGTGAAGGAAAGGCATACTATAGTTTGGCCCCTTGTTATCTTCAGAACCATCTACTTCATGTAGAATCTGCCTGACTTATACTATCAATTATCCTGGGTACCCACCCTGAAAGAAATTGGGGGGGGGGGAGGGCTGGGAATCAAGATAGATTTTCTCATAGTAAATCCTCCTTCTCAAATAGCTTGCCCCGAAGTTAGGTATGCACCTAACAAATGATAGAAGACTAGAAAACAGTCTTTAAGAGAGAGTTCAGACTTACAAAATGGCAACTGCAGGATTTTTAAAATAGTTTTTAATTGCTTTGTTTATTATTTCTTGGTTTTATGGGTGGATTTTCTTATTGTATTAATGATTTATCCCATATGTTGTAAACTGTGTAGAACAGGAAGAGTAGACGACAAGAGTAGATGACATTTTAGTAAACAAATATCCAGAGAGGTCCTTAATTAAGAACTTAACAGGTAGAAGATTCATGTGATAGTAAGAGGTCCTTGAGGAAATGTAAACTTAGGAATGAAATTTTTGCACACAAAAGCTGTCCATGGAAAAGAATTGCAGCCCACAAATTTCTTGCAGCAACTTATTGACTGCATTCATACATCTTCATATGCCATAAGCTAATTGAAACAACATGTTGATAAAACCACAATTGTATGGGTTCAGCATTTTGCCCCAAGCCAAGAGCAATCACCATATTATAGATTAGCACTAGAAAGAAAACAAGCTGCTTTGATTTCTAGTTATTTTATTTAACATCTTTTTGGCTGTATTTTGAGTCAAGCATTGCAAATTCTTATTCTGGCTGCAATCTCTTCTTTCTTTTCCCTTAAGAAATGAAATTAATTTCTCCATACAAATGTTTTCCTCTACATAGATGTGCAGAATCCATACTTTACCTTTAGGCAATACTGGATTTTCTCATCTTCCCTCACATGTGAGACAAATTTGTAGTTTTGTCTGGTCTTGCAATTTATTAAGAGGCATTTCTTTAACAAAATTGTTAAATGTAGTGCTTTATAGTTAACAATCTTTCAATACAATTGTACCTTAGATGGTGTATACTGTCCAAAAACAGATATTAATTTGGTTTTGTTTGTCAAATGGTTTTTATTATCAAACTGAATAAAAATTAAGAAAATTTTGGATGCATCTGGTAAAAATTATAATTCTAAGACAAATAGAAACTTTATTTTATAATTATTGCTTAGTTTAGTTACCTTTGCAATCTGTGCAAAGTGAACAAGCTGCAGTGTAGGATTTTGTTCTTCTGGAAACGTTAGGATTATTGAAATCATCTAATATTTTCTCTTTTGTCTGCATGAAGTAATACTGTTTAAGTCTTAAGAATGATTCTCAGATTGACAAATTCTAATTTCATGGATCCCCAGCAACCTTGCCAGGTCCCAGGTGGGGAATCACAATGCCCTTTTAACATCTCTCTCATCAAATCATTCCCCTTCCTGTGCTAACTTTCCCAGCTGAATCATCACTACAATTCTAATTCAATATTATGTTTAAATCTAGATAATCTATACTTTATTTGTTGAAGTAAATCTCAAGTAAATAAGCTCTTTACTTTGCTTTAATTTTATTTTTCATATTATATTTTAGACTTTGTCAATGACCATGCTCATTTTGGGTCTTTGTCTCACTCTGTTTTGAGGTAAAGCTCTAATCAGTGGAACTACTTGCCTCCAGAAGTTGTGGGTACTCCATCACTGGAGGTTTTTAAGAAGTGATTGGACACAACTATTTGTCTGAAATGGTATAGGGTTTCCTGCCTGAGCAGGGGGTTGGACTAGAAGACCTCCAGTGTCCTTTCCAAATCAGTTACTCTGTTATTCTTCATGCCATTTAAAGACTAAAGTGGATGGGAACCTTTATAATTATTTATAGACCTGATATGTAAGGGGAGGAGAACATATTATTTTTTGATGTATCTTTCAGCATTCAGCCGGGATGGATTTTTTTTACGTTTAATGTTAGAACCACAAGATTTGTTTGTACACAACATGGCATCCTGCTTTGTTGGAGCCAAATGTCACCTAGAGTTAAGCAGTACTGATGAAAATAAAAAGAAAATATGTAACACTGAAAGAAAAAAGAGGAAAAACCATCCCATTCCATGTATAATATTTCAGAGAACTAGGCATAAATTATGCAATATTTAACATAGCTGGAACTGAAGAAACAATAAGCCTGGTACAATTAAACACAAAATATAAATGGTTTTAAGTTGAAGGTGTTGGGTTTCTCCCTGTCTCCTCTCTGAAATTGTGATCAAGCTCAAAAGGCAGATTAGGCATTGTGTGCATGGTTGTCATGGTCTTGCCACATAAATTATCCATGTGGCTTCTTTGGAATGGATGTACTAATGCGGTTAAGTGTTGATAAGTAAAAGTGTCTGGTTACAGCATATTATATAACTACATAGTTTACATGTATTTGCATGCACAGTTTATGATCTGTTCCAGAGTGCTTTGTGATACTTTCAGGTGAATGACGCTATACAAAAGCCAACTGTACTTTGCTGAAAATATCTCAAGGGAAAAACCCCATCTGCTTTCATCTTTAAAACTGCAGTAAGAGCAGGAGGGGGGAATCTCTTCATCTAAGCTTGTTGGTTTTTTGTAACAGCAAAAGCATCTGCTGCTGATTTTTCAAATCTATTTTACCATGATAAAATCTTCCTGAACTCAGGAATTAAGTGCCTCTCTTTTATGATAATCTTCCTCTATAGAAATACAGCTTATTCAAAGTATTTAGTTTTTTTAATTGTTTAACCTTTCCAACCTTGAGAGATTTTTCTAGATTCAAGCTGTATAATTTGTTAAATTAAATTCATATCATGACATTAACGCAAGGCTGTATTTATTTGTAGCCAGAAGAAGACGATGACACTCAAAGTAGTGCGGGTGATTCACCTAGAGGTAACATTCTGTACATTTCCAAAATGTATTTACTGCCTGATTCCAGTTTTTTTTGTTCTAAGTAGGATAATTGGAATTATTACTGTAGAAAGAAATAGTCTTTCATTGGATCCTTTTATCTCAACATCTCTATGCTCTGATGATATAGGGCAGGGGTATCAAACTGCCGGCCCACGGGCCGAAAGTGTCACAAGGAAATAGCACCCACCCCATTGCCGGCAATGGGGAAAAAGCTCCGATACGTCATGTGACATCGCGAGTTTGACATGTATGATATAGGGAAATGCTTTTAAGAAAATGCTTGATGATTGCATGATAATGAGGAAGTTGTCATGTGAAGCCCATATGCACAACATTGAGATTGGATTCATTTGTCCATATAAGAGGAAGACAATATGAGGCGGAACTCGTTAACAAAGTTTGGTATTATTGTATTTCATTTATGTGCATAAGGCCAAATATGGCCCCCAAAAGCCTTAGGTGTGGTCTCTGAAACAGTTCCTGAAGTTGTCATGAAACTGTTTAATGTCTAAATTTGAATTGTACAGTATTTGAATGCAGTTTATTGTCTACTCCAGAGTGTGCTGTGATATTCTCAGGTAAATGATGCTATGTAAAAGCCAACTATAGTTTACTAAAAATATCTCAGGGGAAACTGTATGTTAAAATTTAATGAAACAGAAGATGACTTTTTTAAAAAAAATACTTAAGTAATTAGGTTAACTAGATGTAATTTGTTGAATTTAGTTCTCATTAAATTAATTTACATATATACTATGCTATTCCCTTTTGGTTGAGCAACATGCAAAATACAGCAAAATAATGTAAAGTAGCAACTAAAGAAAAGAATTGAAAGAGATAATGAGAAGGAAAAAAAATCTAACTATATGCATTTACATCACCACTATTCACTATACCTCCCCATATTTTTGCATGCTTACAATCTTTGTTTTAATGACAGTCTTCAACCACAATTATATACCATTTTGTATATAGCACCATACATAATCTTTCCTTCTTTAAACGTCTCACTTATCTTCTTTTGAGGATGTTTTTTCAACGTAACCCCCTATTCTTTCTCTCTATAATCAAACCATCTCTGTGGTTTCTTTCATGCTGGTCAATCATTATAAGTACACATTCATTCAGTTTCCCATTTTTCATGATTCTATTCTTGTTCAACGTATACACTTCTTAAATATCCCATTCCCACTGCATGCAGTTTTTGTGTCTTTGCCCTGTTCTGAATTCCATATAAAGTTGCATATCCTGTTGTGTGAGAAAATTATAGTGGCATCAGGCCAATTTGGCCCAGGTGCAGTTTTCACACATACATTTATCATACATACTATTTGCATACTGCTCCTTAATCTAATCACAGTACTTTAACATATCTCCAGTTCTACCATCTATACCCATAGTCTTACAGTTTTTAAACATTTTCATTGCATTTAGGGCTCCTCATTATTTTTCAATTTATATTCGATTTAAATTTATAGCATTCATTTTAATCCCATTCTACAACATTCCCATTCTAAAGCATTCCCTCGCTTCGCTTTCATTCCAAGTCATTTCATCATTTTTATTCTTAGTTCCATTCATTCTGTTGCTTATTGTCATCAAAATCACCTTGCATTTTCTTTGACATCATAACTGTTCCTTGCATTTTTAACTACATTCTTTGCAATTTCCTTTTTCTTTATATACAATTTATACAACATCTTTCACACTCATTTTTTTGCATAAGTCATTTTGTTACATGATTTTTTTTTCTTCACAGTTTTTTTTCACATCTTTGTTCCACCAAGCCTCCTTGTTCATACTTCCTGTTATAATTTATACTTGGGTCTCCAAATCGCCTCATAATTTTTCCTGTACAGTACGCTCTCAATTCATTTCCACCATTCATTCATATCGTCTTATGGAATCAGTAATATCTTCTCCTAGATACCTTCTTTCCTAGTTTCAGACAGACCCATACTCATGACTGCTTACTCTTCTTATATTTCAAGTTACAATACAGGTAGTCCTTGACTTACAACTGCAATTAAGCCCAAGATTTCTGTTCTGAAAAGGGGCATTTGTTAAGTGGGTTTTGCCCCATTTTACAACCTTTCTTGCCACAGTTGTTAAGCGAATCGTTGTAGTTGTTTAGTTAGCAATAGAGTTGTTAAGTGAATCTGGCTTCCCCTTTGACTTTGCTTGTCAGAAGGTCTCAAAAGGTGATTGCATGACCCCGGGACACTACAACTGTCATAAACATGAGTCAGTTGCCAAGCGTCTGAATTTTGATCACGTGACCATGGGGATACTCAACAGTCGTAAGTGTGAAAAAGCCATAAGTCACTTTTTTAATGCTGTTGTAACTTCAAGTGGTCATTAAACAAACTGTTGTAAGTCGAGGACTACCTGTACCATGATCATCAACAGATAAGCTCATCTGCTCATCACTGCTTTGGTTGACTGAAGTTTTAATGTAATGCTTAGTAAAACAGGTTACCGGCCTTATTTTTACCTACTGTGCTTAGTGGCACAAACCTCCAAAAGCCAAATATAGAGGATAGCTTAATGTTGTTATATAGGAGTTTCACATACCTGTTTGCTCTTTGTGTAGTACATCAGTGCCCTCTTTAGCTGGGGGAGCACATAGCAACCAATCATTCAATGCAGATATAGTGAGCCAATTTTATAACCAGAATATCATTTCAAATGGGAAACTGTAGTTTAAGAAACAAGAAAGATTTCTTTAAATGGACATGCAACAAGAGGAAGTAAGGGAGGGAGAATGAGGAAATAAATTAGAATACAGTTAAGTCTAAATCATCATAATATATTGAACAAGGCTCATTACATCTGTACCATGTCATAGAACTTTTATCTGCCAGAAAACAGTGGAATAACTCCCTAATATAACTGTAATTCTAGCTTTGAAGAAATCATGTACAGAAGATTGCTCTTGCTCTTTGTGTACATCTCACCAGCCAATCATCAGTGACCTACTAAATGATGAGGACTTGCTGTATATGATGAGGATCAAATTGGATCCATCCCACCCGACAGTGAAAAACTGGAGAAACTTTGCAAGCAAATGGGGAATGACTTATGATGAGTTGTGTTTCCTGGAACAGAAACAACAGAGTCCCACCTTGGAATTTTTGTTACGGAACAGTGACAGAACTGTGGAGCAGCTGATTGATCTCTGTAAATTATATCAAAGAGTTGATATTGAGAAAATACTGCAGAAGTGGGTAGAGAAGGAATGGCCAAAAAGAGGCCATAGGGCCTATCAGAAAAACTTATAAAGGAGAAAAAATGACAATGGTGGGAAACCAAGAATAATGGGGTTTGGTTGACTTTACTTCTGGTGTACATATACACACATATATATATATTACTAGGGAAAGGACGACATGCTTATTTTTACAGCATAAACTACTTACCCTTTGTACTGATAAGGATGACCTTTAATTATGAATCAAGTCAATGTCTTTCATAGATGTCAAAGTCTAGAGTACTCAGATTTTCGAAGCAAAAAGAGAACAATGAAAATTATCAGCATGCTATAGAGGATAGCTGCATAATCTGTTACTTCTGTTTAGCAGTCTTTGTCCTGTATTTCTCTCTGACTGGAAATTGTATAGAAATTAAAAATAGGAGGGAAAAAGGAGGTCCTCTTTGAGGAATAATCCAAGCCTGTACCTGTGCACTTAGTCTTGTTCCACCCCTTTCCAGGTTGCAAATCAGAACTGGGATATTCTCACATGACTGCATCTGGAAGGGAGAACCTTTATACTCAAAGATGTATATGAACAGTTCAGAAATAAACCATACATTTTGAATTATACACTATAAGAATATAGTATCAGAAGTTGGCATTGTTGGGCATCTTTCAAGAGGGCCAATTCTAGCCATTTTGGCACCCTAAGCAAAGTCATATTGTGGCACCTCCTATGATTATATTTAGCTCTTGAATAGCCATGCTGACGCACAAGTGCACTGTTACTGCTTTTCTGGATATAACTTTGATAAGCTGATAGTCACATGATTCACTTGCTCAATGCCTTCCTATCAGACTTTTCTCTTGCTTTGATAATATTATTAGTTTCCTAAGATCTGTAGCTATAATAATTATTTCTTTTTGGAGACTTGCAATACCTAGTTGGTGTGATGTTCACTACCACTCAACCGACTGTGCATAAGTGTTGTTGAAATGTATAGAAAGAAATGATTGTCATACAGTGAGGAAATATACTCTATTGCAATACTCTATATTATTATTGTGCATATTTTTTTCCCCAATTTTGGTGTGCCCTAAAATTTGGCATCCTGGGCGACAGCCAAAATAGGCAATTGCCAAACCTCCCCGGCTTGTTGTCATTTTCCTGCTATCTCTGAGTGATGAAAGTGAAGAATCCATACAAACGCACACCTCCCAGTATAGACTGAAACCAAAGAGCTAAGACAAGTATATGGATAGGAGCAACAATAATTTTTAAAAATGGTGAAGCTAGGTGTGGAGGAAAACCCTCTTGAAGGCATCTTTTCAAAAGTTGACAAAATCTGGAGCTGACAAGGAATACCTAATCCATTTGTATATACTAATGCAGTTTCAGCGCCCCTGTCATAATTTTAAAGCTAGAATAAAAGTAGAATATAGATCAGATATATGGTAGATCAGCAAGTATTTTTGGCTTCCAGTTTCATTCCTCCTCAGCCCATTATATTCCAGATGTGTTGGACTGCAGTGCTCATCTGCAAAAATGTTGGTCATCATAGCCCAACTCACCTGGAAGGATAGCAGGACAAGGAAGTTTATCATAGTAATAACAATGTTTCCTTTTTTCTAAACTAGGCTATTAGAGTATTTTATATGTAGTAACTAAAATGTAAACCTGCAGGAGATGGTGCCTCGGTCAAAGAACATGTAATTGGCAACAATCCCTTTGCACCAAATTGATCTTAAAGGTCAAATTTAAGGGAAAAAATTAAAATCTCACAACTCTGAAACCTATCTGTAACTTCATTTCAAATCCTTATTTAATGGGTGACAAAATTAATTGTCAGCTTAATTGCAATATCAAAATCTCTGATCGAGAAGTATATTCCCTTGATTTAAGACTGTATTTTTAAATTATTCATTAGGGATGAATCATATCATTAGGGATCATTCAAATTTTTCCTCTTCTGAGATGATTGATAAAAAAGCTGATCTTTTAATGATTGCAGCAACCTGTGTTTCAATTCATTTAATAATTTTAGAGAAACTATGATAAGCAGCATGCTAATTAAGTGTATTTGTGCCACATAAAGCATCACATTTTAAGATAAATAGTATTCTGAGCAGTGTGTACTTAAATCACAGAATTATCAAGAGCCAATCCTTGATGGGTGATTTTTTCCAGAGTATGCAGAATCTCTATCTGCCTTGGAATTGAAGTGGTTAGATCTCAAATGTGAATAATATATTAAAATATTTTAAGAGTGATTATGTTAATTGGAATTGCTCATTCCCTCTAGCAATTAGAAAATATGTTCAAACATGTTTTCAGAGACAGTTTGAGAACTAGTGCTATTCCAGGGTGTTACAAAGCACTTATCTTCTTTACAATATTATAATAAAATATTATGAAGCATCTATTAATAATTTTACAGATACCCTGGCAATATTATCATTAATCTTTAAATGAATTGGAGTCACTTGGCATAGTGAACACACTTTGGTTTATATAACACTCAATAATGCAGGCAGAAAGCCAGCTCAAAATTAAACTCAGACATTGTTTGATCTCATCACAAATAACCATAAAATGCAAGTAAAACACTGTATGCCAAGATGTAGAAGAGTTGCACACATGCTTTAGAATATAGCTTATGAGAAAATGTGAGTTCAAGATCTTCATTGTAAGGCATTCAGTCCTAACATCTAAACTCTTAAATGTACTTCCTAACAAGCTTCTATCTCAAGTGTGAAGAGACCTGGGTTTTCAGTTGAAATATCATTTTCAAACGTGATAAGCTCTGAAAAGTGTCACTGAAAACTGAACTAAAAATGCTGCTATCAGGAAGAATACTTACTGTATGGGGAATTGAACTTTTAGGCTGTTCTACTAAACACAAGCATACTTAATTGTAACACATGTTTTTATGGTTTTAGCTCTTTAGAGTTATGCTTGAAAATTAAACCATTTCTATTACTGGGATTCTGGTAGTACGCTGAATTTTAAAACTTCTAATTTTGTTAATATATTCCTTTTTTGTAATGGATCTGAGTTCAAAGCATTTGTACGTATGTATCATCAATCTGTCATGTTTGTTACATGTTTTGATATTCAGTTTTAGAAGAAAAATGTTTTTTTCATCCCGTTTTTAATTTTATTAAGAGCATTACTGTTACTTTTCTAAACTACTTTGTTGTAATTATTTAAGACATGCATTTCAGTCATTAAAAGACTAATGTCAGAAGATGTGCAACGCTAGAATTTATTTAGGATATAGTGGGGTTTATTAAAATGAATGTCTGTAAATTCAGAGCTTTACTCTCTCACTGAGAATAGAAGTCTTTCCCTCCTTGTATAGCAATTACAAGCAAAAGAGCTCTTTGAATTGCAGTAGCCGTCTGCAGACTTTGGTCTCTTCGTACTACAATATATGTGTTGCCATACCTTATGACCAATCACTTCTGGCTGTTTTATTTCATCTCAGAAAAGACAGTCAGATATTGTTTTAAAATGCTTAATTTATTCCATTACAAGCTCTTTCAGTGAACTGTCCATTGGTTTACTTTCACAAAGAATGAATGCCAGTATTTTAAAACCAAGCAGATCCTATACACTACAGAGAGACAGCATGATAGATTCCTTTCCCTTCCCTTTCCCCTCCCCTTCCTTTCCCCTTTTGCAATGTTTGCTAGGTTTTTTTTAAAAAAATTGTTTTTCTTCTCTATTGAATCCACAATATTATGTAAACATCAAAGCAACACACATTTCAAATCAAGCTGTGAAATAATATACCCTGTAACATAATATTAATATATCCAATAAGACACATATCCAAGGTGTTGCCTTTACCTTATTTCCAAAAGTTATGCAAGAAATCTGTGTGCACGTACATCTCCAAGATTTATCCCTGGTTATATGAGATGTTAAATCTGCATCTAAATTACAAGAATACATCCATACTGTATACTCTAGTCTAGATGAATTTAGATTTACATTAAAAACTAAATATTTTAGCATTGGAATTCACATGTCTTGCTCAGATTCTTGGCCTACCTGCATGTATTTTCAAACATCTGCCCATCCAAGCAGAAGGAAATTACAATCATCAGGTGTTAACTTCCTAATTATCTCTATGTCATCCAATTTCCTATTTGGAGTTTGTTTGGGTTATAGTTATTCATAAAATTTCTGCTGGTGACTTTGCTCTGACAAGCAGTTCTAACTTCAGTGTTTATTACTGTGTAATATAAAGACTTCTTCAAGTTTTTGTTTATGTATCTATGAACTATAAAACAAATGCAGGATTGGTGTGCCAATCTGTAGTTGCATAGATTACTGCCATAGCCATTTGACAGAGACTGTAAAAGTTAGTTTCATTATATTTGATTTCTCCTTGAACACACTATAGTATGTGTGAATAATATTTTTGAGAGTTTGCTTGTATTCTCACTACAATCTTTGTTACTGAAATGCATTTATAAAATTAAAATGACTTTTAGTGTCTCAAGATTTATGAACAGCTGTGCCACTATAGCATGCTGACTAGGTAGAAAAACCCATGAAACTTATTTGCTTCATAATTAAGCATAAATGGCCTAAAGAAGACGACTCATCCCACCTACTGATGAATTGTAGTACTGTAATGCATTAAGTGTTTAGACATGTCAAGTAAGCATTATTTCACAGGTTTCAATGGATGGAGAACCCAATATATTTTGCTGCCGAGATGAAGGGTAAGTTGATGCCTCTCCTTCAATAGAAAGAAAGTTCCTTGGACTAGCAGTGGCAATAGATGTATCTTCCAACATGAGGGTGACACCCGATGATAGCCAACCCTGAGTACTCCTGCAAGAATGCATTCATCTTATTCTGACTAATAAAAGTTCACTATTTTTCTTCTTTCTACCATCCTTTTCTATATTAGAAACCTTTCGGAATTAGAAAAAGGTTTAGACATCTTCACTGGCTTATTTTACGAATAAAATGATTGGGAGATTGTTTCAAGGTCCTTGGGAAAAATTCACAGAATAAAAATGAAAATCAAGTGAATACAGATAAGAAAATAAGAACATTTGAAAATAAGAAATAAGAAAAAAAATTGAGCCTGGTGCAAAGAAGAACAACTAAGATGATTAAGGGACTGGAGACAAAAACATATGCAGGATTTGGGCATGGCCAGTGTAGAGAAAAGAAGGACTAGGGGTGACATGATAGCAGTATTCCAGTATTTGAGGGGCTGCCACAAAGAAGAAGAGGTCAGCTTATTTTCCAAAGCACCAGAAGGCAGGACAAGAAACAATGGATGGAAACTAATCAAGGAGAGAAGCAAGCTAGAACTAAGGAGAAACTTCCTAATAGTGAGGACAATTAACCAGTGGAACAGCTTGCCTTCAGACTTGCGGGTGCTTCATCACTGGATATTTTTAAGAAAAGACTGGACAGCCACCTATCTGAAAGGATATAGGATCTCTTGCTTGAGCTGGGGGTTGGACTAGAAGACCTCCAAGGTCCCTTCCAGCTCTATTCTGATTGATATTAATTCTGGGTTGATCAATGATTCATTGGATTGTTTTCTTGATTCTCCACGGTATATCCAAGAGTCTTCTCCAACACCTAAGTTCAAAGGCGTCAATACTCTTCCCATTTTGCTTCTTCGAAGACTTAGACTTCACTAGACCATTGTGAATTTGGTTAAATCATCTTCCAGGGCCGGTCAAACATTACGCAAATTGCGTTCCGAAGTTTCAATCAAGGCTGTTCCTTTAAGCGTGGAGGCGCGTGTCTTGGTGGGATGATGTCATTGTTCGGGATTTGTGAACCAGGAAAAGGAAGAATGCCGAGGCACCATTTTAAACCGTTGGATCGGTAGCATGATAAATGCGAGGTGAAAACAGCCGCTGCGGTTTTGGCCGGAAGGCGAAGAGAGCGCGCCCCAGATGCGGAGGTGAGTCAACTTGAGGGCATCCGCAGTAGAGCAGCTGCAGAGAGTTAAAAGCGAAAAGATGCAGTTGAAACGTAGCGAGTGACTTGGGAGTAATTGTCTGGTTTGGATGAGCGGATGGGAAGGCGAATCAAGACAAGGGAAATTTTAGAAAATATCGTGGACGGTGCGCCATCCAGTGGAAATTAAATTCGGTTGGTCTCTGAGTTGGAGTCCGGGGTCTGCGTGAAATTAGCTGGAACTTAAAAATCACTTCTGGTAGGGCCAGCAGGATGAGACAAAGCAAAATTTCTAAGAATTAATCTGTTCGTTTAATTTGTGAGGAACTAGCCCGGTTTGGGTCTTTGAGAAGTGTTTTTTATGTGGATTTTTGCTTGGCTGTGATTACTTCAAAAAAGTATTGACAGAAGAGGGGGGTGGTTGTGATTTCCCCCCCCCCGTTATTTGTTAATGAAGATAAAGAACGCCATTATTATTGCAATAGCAGAATTGCAACGGCTGCAAGAGTGTGAAATTACCTAGTATTATTTTATCCATTTACCATGGACGCGGCCAGTGCACAACAATAGTTTAATCGGATATTATCCAGTCTCTTGATACTGTATGGTTGGTTTTTTTTAAGAAAATGAACGAAGGGGCTTGGCTGGGAAATCCACTAAAGTATTATCTTGTTTATTAAAAATCAGAGTAGCCTTTTAAGAGAGCCAGAAAAGTTCACTGGGCGTCTTCCTTGGTCTTGGGGCTAAAATGATGCAGCACCACATACTGTAGTTCCTCATGAGTTATTTTGGTAGTGTATTGTGGTAAAGAAGAAGTCTTGTGATGATGCAAAATAGCCTGTAGAGCTGAGTGTGGAGAAGTTGGCAGATATTAACCATGCCTAAAATCTAGTTGTTTTTTTAAAATTAAGACTTTTGATTATAATAATGAAATAGAATAAAAACTAAACTTAAAGAAAATAGAGAGGAATAAAAAGTGCAAGGAAAAAGAAAGGGAAAAAATTTGGAAGTTCCTGAAAATCAACAGAGATGGAGCCAGCTTCATGTGGGGGAGGGGTGGGAGGAGAATGGGTGACATGTCAGAAAGGGGGGCTCCTTCTGGTGTTGCCTCCAAGTTTGGCATGGAGCTGATAAGAACTTGACCCCTGAATATGAGAGTGGCATTTATCTTTGCAAAGGGACTTTGTTCATCCAAAAATACAAATCACCACATATAACAGGCAAAGCAGAAAGCATTAAGGGGGTATGTGTCAAGTCTTCTACAAAAAGAAACAATACATTCCTTTGACATATGTTACAGTCAGAAAGCAAGTGATCAAACACCTGGACACTGATTACATGTGAGACTTGAATAATACAAAATATTGATTCTAGATAACATTCCACAAGTGGCAAATTTATGGGTTACTTTACTCTTTCCCAGCTGGTTTGTACCTTTCTTAAGACTTACAAGTATATTCAAGGAATTTCAGTATACACTTTGCTGTTCTGAAGCTGCTGAAAGAGCAAGTTCTTGTACGCCAAAAGAAATGACCTAGAGAAAAGAGAAAAACGTGCTTTTTTAAAGTTAAAAAAGAGTCCTAGGCTGCCATGTTAAAAAAAGCTAATGACACCTTTTAAAATGCTAATAGAAGCCTAAGATTTGAGGCAGCACTGTGTCCTGCCAAGTGCAGCTCCCTGGCAAACAGGATCCTGTATTATATATTTTCTGCTGGATCTGATGGGATGGGCAGAAGTGGGAGAGATGGTCCCTCAAATAACCCAGTCCTATGCCATGAGGGGCTTTAATGATAAAAATCAATACCTCGAACTGAATCCAGAAGCCAAATGTGACATGCAAAGAGTAAAGTGCAAAGAGCAGATGTGCAATATTTGTCATTCTAGGAACACGTATAACTGCTCCCATTTCATGTATGACATGGCAATTAGAGAAAATATTGGGTGTGTGGAGGAAAATCACACGGATTCTTTTAAGAAACCTGTGTTCAGAGTTGTACTAGTGGCATGGTGACTTTTTTCTTTGAGTTCTTTGCTAAGCTTTTGCTGGGTATTTTAAAAATCTGTCTGAACTATTTCAGACAGATGCTTTAGAATTTGATTTGTCAAGAGATAGCAGCCCACACTGATTGAAAGGCTGGGATTTTTAGATATCTTGTCAACTGTAGCTTAATATTGGAATGTTAAGTCTCCTGGAGTAGTTTACATCTGTTCTCCTTTATACTTTATACTCAAAGGTAACAGAGGTTTTTCTATCATATTCTCTTTCCAAACATTTCCTTTGTATCCCCTTTAATGGTTCTTTCAACATATGTACGTATTCAATTATGTTCACTTAAAACTTAGCTCTACAACTTTACCTTTCAGATATTGTTTGCAATTGGATCGTACAGAGCCTAAAAACTTCTAAAGCTGAGAAGACAGAAAATGATGTCTTTGGACAATTTTCACAGGACAATCCGGAGCCCAGTGATTATCTCTTCTTCCTTGTTGACCCCATTCAATCTTAAGACAGGGGATTTCTGAAGTGAGAGGTTGGGGAAAGATGAGAAGAAAAAGTGTGGCTAAGCTGCAATAGAGTTTCCACACAGAGCAGAAAAATAAACTTTGAATCCTGCCTGCTCAAATATGTTTACCCAGTGTTCGGTTTAGAACAATTTTAGGTCTCAAACCGTAATCCAGCTTCTACACTGATAACTTGTATTATGCAGCTTATTGTAAAATTGATTTGATTATACTGATTGTCTTGAAATCAGATATTTACAATGAAGGCCCATGGCAATGCTCTCTTGCATGTGTGTTGCTGCACACAGCTACCTAATTTTGCTTGCATGTCTAACTCCTTATTGTCAGTAGTTGAGTGAAGATGAATGACTCACATCAGAGAATTGTCCATCTTGCATATTCACATCTTGATTAAGAGATTCTGAATCTTAGGAATTATCCTTAGGAAGAGATTGTCTGAACTAACTAAATTGGTAGAGCATGATTTTACTAATTATTAGGTTTAAAAAAAAATAGAACATTGTGAAAAAATGATTTTTCCCTTTAAGTAGCAAGACTACAAATTACATATCCTCTCTTTTTAAAATAGGTTGTTCCATATGCTGGGACCTTAATTGATGGTCTTTCACCTGGAGATCTTGTAATAGTACATGGATTTGTTCCTGAAGATTCAGAGAGGTAAAATTAAAAATAAATGTTTTATTAAAAGCTACTGTGTAAGGATATTACAGGCAAGCACCATATATATTTGTTGATTTATTGAAATGGTTCAGTCTTTCTTTTGAGAAATTAAACCGTTTGAGGAATGTTAAACTTTCCCTATAATAATGATTGTTAATTGATATTAGACCACAAATTTGCTGGTGAAAGTGTTTACCTTATTTTGTTGAACCGGTCCATAAACTTATATTTGCTTGGATAAAGTAATTGATTTTAGTACTGTATTCAAGAGACTATGTTATAACATTAGATAAGAAATATAAATATGAAAAGAAATGTGCAACACTTAGAAAATGTTTCTAAGATATATCTACATATGTAATATTTTTTCGGAATATTAGCTAGAGCTATGAAACTGCTCTGTAGAATGGCCATAGCCATGAATGTGCTATTTTAGGGATTTTCATGGTCTTAGAAGAAAACTCTGTCCACATGTTGGACATATTCCATGTTAGACATTAGAAACAATGCTTCTAAATCCTATATACACGTCTTTGAAGTTGTCATCATGAGTCTGGTATGGAATGAATGATCCCGCTCAAAATTCTAATTCATATAACAGGAGTGGAATAAGGAGATAGCAGCTTTAAGGTTCTCCATTTTTAGAGATTATTTGCTGCGTCAACAAAGATGGCATTGACTCCAGTGTGTTTGACTTTACTAGGTTCCAGGTGGACTTTCAGTGTGGCAACAGTACAAAACCTCGTGCTGATGTAGCCTTTCATTTCAACCCTCGGTTCAAAAAATCCGGTTGCATAATTTGCAATACCTTGCAGAAAGAAAGATGGGGCACAGAAGAGATCACTTATGAGATGCCTTTTGAAAAAACAAAGCCTTTCGAGATAGTTTTTATGGTTCGCCATGATAAGTTCCAGGTAAATTGCTCAGATTTAATTATTTAATCAGCCAGTTAGCAATACTAGTTCAATAAGTCCTATATAACTGCAACTATATACTGAGCTCCCATTGGTTTCAACAGGTTAAATTTAAGTTTAGGCTTAAGTTACTTTGATTCCATTGGGAGTACTAACTACTTTTATCTAACTTTTTATTTTCTTGATTAGATACTTTCTGGATCAGTGCTCTTAATATTGCATTTATTTAGCTTATATATCCCACATTTTGTTTTTTTAATAACTTGCAAGATACCTAACAATCAAAACATTCAAATAAATTTAACCCAATGTAATTGAAACCTAATTAAATCACTGCTATCAATGAAACAGCAAACACAAAAAATGTGCATCCCACCCTATAACTCTGCAATCAAATCCCAATATGAAATACATTTTTGTCTATTGATGGAAGGAGAAAAAGTCTCTTCTTTAAAGTTTGAACTGATGTGGTGGTGGTTTTGGGTAAAAGGGATGGAGGTCGTGGTATAAAATTCAGAAAGATTTTTCAGTTTTTTTTAGAGTACAGCATATATAACATCCATGTAAGAATAATATATTTCACAATATATATATTGGAGGAATATTTAAACTAAACAGCGGGGACAGTGAGCTAATTGATACAGAACATCCCTGTCCCCGGCAATCTAAAAATTATAGGGCTATCAGTGCATGTGACATAGATGTGTGTGTGGACAAGAATATCAACCTTGCTGTCAAGCAAAATCAAGCTTTTAATAGTGAGTGCCACACAAAGTGCACTAACCAAATAGGTGGTAAGAAAATAGGGGAACTCAGGCACCACACAGGTTATGTAGAAAGTAAACACAGGATCGGTCATAAAGGACTCAAATGTCTATACACCAATGCACAGAGTATGAACAGCAAACAGGGTGAACTAGGGTGAAATTCAGGTTAATGAGGGCAGATATGATATTGTTGCCATTACGGAAACATGGTGGGATGAAACCTACAAATGGAACACACAGCTAGAGGGATTTAAATTATTTAAAAGAAACAGACCAAATAAAAGAGGAGGTGGAGTTGCTTTCTATATAAGAAATAACTACATCTCTACAGAAATAGAGCACAACAATGATGAAAACTCTCTTCAATGCATTTGGGTCAATATAAAAGGGGAGGAAATGACATTGCCATAGGTGTATACTATAGGCCACCCAACCAAACAGAGGAAATAGATGAACTTTTTGCTAGTCAGCTAACTAAGGTATGTAGGAAGCACATCACAACAGTAATGGGGGACTTTAACTACCCTGACATCAACTGGGAGACAAACTCTGCACCAAGTGGAAGATCAAACAGATTCCTGACAAACCTTGCAGACAACTTTGTCTCCCAAAAAGTAGAGAAGGGAACTAGGGGATTAGCCATTTTGGATCTAATTCTCACTAACAGAGATGAAATGATAGAAGGTGTTGAAGCCATAGGAACCTTGGGAGGAAGTGATCATGTAATATTGGAATTCAACATTATGGAAGCACAAGTAATAGAACACAGTCAAACTAGAGTTTTGGACTTCAAGAGAGCTAATTTCAATAAACTTAGNCCAACAAAGAGGAAAAATAACAGCTCTCAAAAGAAACCAGCATGGCTGCATAAAGAACTCTCTGATAAATTGAAAGATAAAAAGGACAAGTATAGAAAGTGGAAAGAGGGACACATAACTAAGTCAGAATATCAGCAAATAGCCCGAGCCTGCAAAGATGAAGTGAGGAAAGCTAAGGCTCAAAATGAACTAAGGCTTGTGACCAAAGTCAAAAATAACAAAAAAAGCTTCTTTCAACATGTGAAAAACAAGAAAAAAATGAAGGAAATGATTGGTCCATTAGTGGGTGAAAGTGGCAAGAAGGTGACAAGCAACAGGGAGAAAGCAGAACTATTTAACTCATTTTTCGCATCTGTCTTTACACAAAGGGAAAAAACAGACCAACCTATCTAGAAATAGTGCCATAAAAAACAGAATAGAAACACAAGTTAAGATAGGCAAGAAAATGGTAAGTGAGCACCTGTCCAGCCTAGACGAGTTCAAATCACCAGGACCAGATGGATTACACTCCAAGGTTCTCAAGGAACTGGCAGATGTGATCTCAGAACCACTGAACTATATTTTTCAAAGATCCTGGAGCACTGGGGAACTACCAGAAGACTGGAACAGAGCTGATGTAGTTCCCATCTTCAAAAAAGGAAAAAAAATGGATCCAGGAAATTACAGACCTATCAGCTTGACCTCAATACCTGGGAAGATACTGGAAAAGATAATCAAACAATGAATCAATGAACACCTACAGGCAAACAAAGTCATTACTAAAAGCCAACACGGGTTTGTCAAAAACACATCATGTCAGACAAATCTTATTGCATTCTTTGACCAAGTGACAAAATTAGTGGACCAGAAGAATGCTGTGGATATAATTTACTTGAACTTCAGTAAGGCATTTGACAAAGTAGATCACAACCTACTACTTGATAAGATAGAAAAATGTGGGGTAGACAGCATCACCACCAGATGGATCCGTAGCTGGCTGACCGGCCGTACTCAGCGTGTGGTCCTCAATGGAACCACATCTACATGGAGGGAAGTGTGTAGTGGGGTGCCCCAGGGCTCTATTCTGGGCCCAGTGCTCTTCAACATCTTCATCAACAATTTGGACGAGGGGATAGATGGGGAACTCATCAAATTTGCAGACGACACCAAGCTGGCAGGAATAGCCAACACTCCAGAAGACAGGCTTAGGATACAGGAGGATCTGGACAGACTTGAACACTGGGCGCTATCTAACAAAATGAAATTCAATGGTGAAAAAAG